AACTTGCTAGTAGAGAATCGTGTGGGGGCTTAACTTCATTCCTACATTTTTAGCCGATTTGCTTTTGTTTTTAATGCTCTATTAAATTCTTTTTAAAATTTTTGTTTATCTTGATTTAACATTTTTCAGTGTTTTTTTATGATTTTGATTTTTTTATATAAAAAATATTTAAAAATATCAATTTGATATTTAAAAAAAAAACTTTTAAAAACATTAATGCTAAAGGGTACCTAAAACAAATATTACCTAAAGTTTTATGCATTGAAAAGTATACAATGAAATTGACTCTTGAGTTTGTAATGGTTTGATGCAACATATATCAAAATAAAAGAAACTAAAAGTTTAAAAATCCTAAAATTATTGCTAAATTATAAAAAAAAATTATAATTTAATAAACTTTGTATCTCAATAATTCAAGATCAATTACATACTAAGAAATGCATGTATATATAAATTTGAATTATACTTTACCTATTATATTATATTTAGCAGTATTATATATGAAATTTTGTTAAACGTACAACATTGCACTATTTTGACTTGTCATCATAAATAATCCAAATATAGATTGTTGAGTGTTTGATTCGACCACTCTATCTACTCATCTGTTAATAAATGTGTTGTATTATTGAAATTCAAGAATAAATCATACATTTTTTATAATATCTGTTAAAGATAATTAAAGAATCTATTATTCTTACCAAAAATAATGTTTTCAACACCCCATGTAAATGAATTATCTCTCTAGAAAAAAACCAAATAATTATAAAAATATTGTTTGTCTTTATATAGAAAATAAAACATGTTATATTTAAAAACCTATCCATCACAATAAAAAGAGAATTCATCCCCTTTAGGTATAGGGTAATCCAAATATGAAATTTATAGATAAATCATCATGTATATTTTTAGGAATTAGTAAAAGCATATACATACATGTATTATGTGCTTGAAATTTTATAGGTCGACAAATATAATAATTTTTGATAAACTTATCAATAACCCATTTCAATTGAGGTTAATAATGCATCTTACTAACAATAGTATTACATTTCTTTCATCCTGAGTGATTAGCCAAGCCTCCATTTTGTAAATTCTAAATTATCTTTTCTTGTGATGAAAAAAGAAAAATGCGAAAATGATTATGTTGTGTTAAAAGCCCATCATAAATTGAAATATCATTAACATGTAGATTCTCGCACTTTTCCAAAACTTGTTGAAATGTTAATTATGCTCATGTAAGGTTTTTAAGCAACCAAACCTAGTAATTTTTTATTTTTTAAATAATTAATAAGATTTTTTTTCTGCTTAAAGCATTAACAATTCTATTTTAAACCTCTATCTTATGCATAATTTAAAAAGAGAGTTATTATAGGTAGGTCATTCATCTTATATATATATCATCATAGATACGTTTTTAATGATGTAGAATCTGAATACAATATAAATTCTTTTTCTATCAAACAATGTTCCTATTTCTTTAGAGTTTATAAAACAACATATAATTTCTTATCACACAACAACCATTTTAATTTAGCTTCACTAATTTTTTTTATTAAAAACTATTATTTTTCTCCGCTTTTAGAACAATACATCTTCAATACCTATAACGTATACATCATATTTAACCTCAAGTATATTATCAAAATTTTGAAGGGATAAAACAATAATAGTGCCTAAATTTTCTTTAATCAAAACAAAGCTCTTTTTTACCTCCTCTATGTAATCCAACTTCTTCTTCATGCATTCAATAATTAGTGTACTTATACTATTAAAATTCAACTTGAATAGCTTATTAAAATGATAAATTCATATATAACTTAAAAGGGTAGATAATCTCTAATGACTTTAACCTTCTCATCTTTAACATGTATATTGATGAACTTATAATAAAGCCTAGAAATAGTAATCTATCAATTATAAAACTGAATTTTTTCAAATTCACATATAACTTATAACTTCTTTTCTAACAAAACATGTAACACTTTTCTTAGTTATCATAGGTTATCAATTTGAATTAACTATAAATTAGAATATCATTAAAATAAATAAATAACAATAAACTTATTAATAAAGGAATGTAGAACCTAATTCATTAATTGTATGAATGTGCTTTGCATAATAAACAACTTAAAAGACATAACTATCCACTCGTATTAACCATTTCATTGTCTTAAAAGTTATATTCCGCTTATCATCATGTCAAGTTTAAATTTAAAGGTATATACTCTATAAATCAATTTTCATAGAGATTGTATCCCTTTATAATTAATCTAGAATATAATTTAAATAATAAATTAAAAATTTGTAATTCATCTAGATCTTTTAAAGTAATGGTGATAACAAGATTAAAGTGGATCAAGGCATCATTATCAATACTCAAACTATCTACCTAATTTTGTTACAGGACTTCCATTATGTGGTTTTTTTTTAACCATCATTTATTTTATCATTTCTAATCTTTCTTCTCATTCTGTCTTATTAGATTGTTCTATTTTGATCTTAATCATTTTAACAGCCAACTTAACTTGGAGTTTCATGATATAAAGGTGTAATCAGCTACTTTTCATTGAGCTTTTTTATTATATCTTATGAATTTATAAACTTAGTATTCTGACTTTTTGATTCTTTACTATGTCTTCCAATTTCATATGGGCTCTCAATTCAATCTCATCCCAACACTTAAACTTATTTTTATAGTATTTTTTCTTTTTCAACTGATATGTATATCATTTTCATTTTCAGCTACCACCATTTATCATATGTGTCATTGGGCATTCCTTTTTTACTCAGCTTCTTTTTCCTAGTTTTGTTCTTATCCTTTAATTCTTTTTCAGCTTGTTCTCTTACAACTACTACTTTTTGAAAGCCTTTATTGCTTTTTTCAAGCTCCAATTCATCTTGTAGTTGCTTTATCTTCTCCATCTGTTTTATCTTCTTCATCGACTCTTCATCATTTGTATTCTCTTTCTCTGGGACCCCATAACATGTATTTCTAGAAAAGTTATAGCTTCGTGCTCTCTTACTAATGAGTCACTGAATGGCTTATTGTTTCTCCATTCCAAGTATTGGTCATTAATTTTGAGGGTTATTCTACCTATTTCTTATCTTATAAAAAATTATGTCTTCTAATTATACCTAAATCTTTCTATTATTACTGGAGAGGTAGTTTCCTTAAGATTTCTAGAGAATTGAGTAAGTTCAAAAGTCATCAGGACACGCTATAAGTACCTAAATTATCTTAACATCAAAGTTAGGTTGTATCTTATATATCTAATTGCTTCAATTAAAAGTACCCATGGATTTACCCATAGTAAACCAAGCAAGCCTCCATAACCATCCAAACGGTTCTCCAATAAACTTGTTTTGTGGTAGATCGTAGAACTAAAGATGATAAAAAAAACTGAAAAACTAATTAAATCAAAAAAACTAACCAAGAAAACCAAACTGAAAAAATATTGAATTAACTAATTAGAAAATCAAAAATAAAAATTCAATTCAGTTTGATTCGGTTCAGTTTCAAAAGTCTAAAACCAATTGAAATGGACTAGAACGGACCGGTTTAGTTTCTAGTTTCAACCCAAAGTTAAACCTAGGTATAAAAAACTTATTTTGTTCATTGAAACCCTCTCTAATTTCATTTTCTTCTACAAGTCGCAGCCACCATCTCCTCTCTCTCTACACCAGCCCCCCTCCTCCCTCTCCTTTTTTTCTAGTTTGCTCACATTTCCCTTACCAGCTCCCCTCCCCCCTCTTCTCTCTATCTTTGATTTCTAAGTTTTGTGCAATTGGAGATTAAAACCCAAGTATTTTTTTCATCACTTACTATGTTGCTTACTCATAAATCTAGGTTTTAAATGAGTTTCTTGAATTGTTTGTGAATAGATTGAAGAGTACTTTCGTCAAAGAATATGCTTTAGTTTCCATAACTTGGCTTAATGTTGAATTCCTTATTAGCTTTTTGTTTAAAGATTGTTGGTTTATTGAACTTGTAATAAAGAAACAACTTGGTTTTCAAGGTAGGGAAAATATTTTCTTGTTGTCTTTTGTTATTTTCTATTATTTTTCTACCTGAACTCCTGAAGATTCACTTGGAAATTATTCATTTGTTATAATTTGGAAATAACAATTGAATGGAAACAGGTCTAACCAGTTTTGAAAGAAAAAATCAAACTGAATCGAACTAAAATGGTTAGTTTGAAGACCAGCTGGTTGGTTCGATTCGATTTATAATTTAAAAAATATATATTTTGATTGGGTTAGCTTTTTTAATTTAAAACCGAACCGAACCGAAAATGATAACTTTTTTAATTTAAAACCGAACCGAACCGAACTGAAAATAATAATTTCTAATTAGAATTTCTTCACCCAATTTAATAAGTATATTTTATGCCACTTAATTGCTTTAAACATCTTAAGTGACTTGCCACCAAAATGACCTAAACATCGAAGCCCTAGCTTCCATGTGGCTCATCATCCAAATATAAATTAGTTAAATACAACACCTCATGAAACTTGTTATAGTCTTTCTATAGTAATTCAAAGATAAATAGTTTTAGTTAGAATTATGGCTAATGGGTTGATGATGTCCCTTTCAAAATTTAAAAAGAAAAAGTTCATAGCCTTTAAACTGATTTTTTCAAAAGTAAAATTTTAGCCCAATTTAATAGTAAAATTAAAAAAAAAACACTTGTTTAACCATTGTGTACTTAATTTATATTTCTGTAGAAAGGCATGTATTCACCGTGGATACTAAAAGCAAGTCATTTGCCTTTAAGGTGTGAAGAAATTACACATTTCTTGACTGAGTACTGCTCCCTCTAATTTGTTCAGATGAACTAGATGTTCTTTAAAATGTCCAATCTTATATTTCAGGAAGTCAATTTGTTTTGCTGCATAAATCAATCCCCATCTAGATTATCTAGTGGCTAGGAAATGCCCACCTGAGCTCTGAACTTTTTGGAGGAACTGAAGCAGCATGGTCAACAGAGACACTTTGGAGAGAAATTTGTTAAATTGGATTACAAAAAGTTTGGTGCATTTACTATTACAAGGCCTTTCAACGCATAGCTAGTGGCAAACCTCCTAGGATCATTTTCTTATCTACTAATAAAGCCTGTACAAAAAAAGTATTGCCTCAGAAACCTCCACATAGCTCATTCACTGAAGTTTCAGCAAAGATATCTACATCACTAAGCATAATTACACAAACAAACTGAACATCTCAAAAATTAAACAATAGAGACACTGAGACCCTTTTTTGTTTGTTCTTGATTTGGCGTTGAATCACTTTCAAAGCAGGATCAACCAGCTTCGTGATCTCCGGCAATAGGAACATCATGTCCTGGATGTCTAATCCCAAGTTCAATTTCTGTGGCATCAGAACTTGCTGGTTGCTCAAGTAGTGACTGCCGGCAAGTTGGACAGGAGGAGTGTGATACCAACCATGTGTCTATGCACCTAACATGAAATCCATGGTTACAATTGGGCAAAACTCGCACTTTCTCACCACCTATGAACTCACCAAGGCATATTGCACAGTCTGTAGCAATTAAATGTATCCCTGCCACCCCGTATATAATCACTGGGATTCGTCGCAATGCACTCTTTTTGAGGCCCGTTGCTGCCATATGTGCTGCAGTCTGATCAGGAGTCTCAAAAATAAACCTCCTGCTACAGCGTATGGCGCATCGTACTATAGAATTTAGTCCAAGTGCACAAATTAATGCACAAAGCAAAGCCGCCAAGATGATCACCATGTTGGTATCAAAATTGGCCTCGCTGTTGTATGTGTTGCGCGTCCTGCTTCCATTTGCTGCAGATTGTGTGCTTGATTCTGTCTCCAGGAGGAGCCGGTGTGGACGATGATGTAGAGCAAACATGGCTATTATTATGACTCAATCCAACAACACTTCAGAAGTACACCAATACCCTCTTAGCCGAACTACAATTTCTTTAGACCTTCTACGAGTTTATTATGCAAATAGACTGGAGATTTCATGGCTCCAGTTCTTCCTAGCATCAAATCGAACCACGAAGGAGACTGAAAGTAGGGAGTTCATTTCACTCGTATATAGAACAAGGCCTTCAATTGTGTTTGGTATGGATTTCTTCGCAGAGAGGAATTTAAAGGCTAGTTCATATGGCTTCTGATGCTTCAAGAGCAGGAGGTGAAAGCTAAACAAAAAACCATGGGGTTTGCGGTTTCTTTTTCGGTTCTTGTTGATCTGCTTTCAACCAAAAAGAGAGAGATGAGCCTTCTGAGTTATGGCAATGTCTGTCAAGATTCCAACGAGATAAAAGACATCACAAAAGGCATCTTCTTGATAATTTAAACAAAAAAATCAGGGGAATTGAATAGCTTTCTTGAGCCCTATTTCACCAATATAAAGCTAATCTTCTGGCTTCCAAAGTCACAAATCCTCCTGTAAGTTAATCCAAGGATGACAGCATGGATAAAGAGAACTATGATCATGGCTTACCTTAACTTGGGCAGATAATACTCTGCAGCAGCAGCAGGAAAGATGAGATTTTTTCTGCTTCTAATTAACTGTGAGAGAATTGATTTGTTTGGTGATACAAAGAGATCAGGGCTGGCTTAATATTTTGTGAGAATTATTATACGGAAGCTATTGAAGCGCTTGGGAGCCCCCTATTCGGATGTGACCATGGAAACTGGACTACAGGTGGGAGAGAAGATACCTAATGGAAGAAAGATATCAGTGCTAGGTTTCTTTTCACATCATTATTACTGAGAGAATGACATCCAGAAGGCTAAATTATAGAATCATGGGGAGAAAGAAAAAGAAAGCAGACTTGAAGGGGGGGGGGGGGGGGGGGGGAGACTATGGTACCTGATCCCACATAAGCACAATTAGTTGCTTAAGATTATGCTTATTCTCAAGCACCAAATCTTTCTCCCACTCATCCACTATACCTTTAATTAAAAGGGGAAGTAAATTCCATGGCTCATTTGTCATAGCCAATGCCTCTCTTTGCATCCCTATATTTTTAGATGATGACACCACCTTGAAACAGCTTTCGAAAACATGCAATTATTATTATATTATAAATATACTAAAATCCTAAAACATTTTATAATTTTAACCTAAAAAATAAAAATAAAAAATTGAGATTTTTTTTATATAGTTTCAACCTTTTTTTCAATTTTATTTTTTAATATTATATTATATTTACCAGATAGTATATTTTATAATTTATTTTGATTTACTTTATATGAAGTCATCTCAGTTTTATAACCTAAAACATGAGTTTTATAGGTTAATCTTGTTGACTAATTTATTTTGATTTATTTTATATGAAGTCATCCTATATGAAGTCATCTCAGTTTTATAACCTAAAACATGAGTTTTATAGGTTAATCTTGTTGACTTGTTTTTTTATTTTTAAAATTTATTTTTTTCAACTTCATCTTTCAATACTAGGTTAATTGAAAATTAAACTTCATAATCATGATTATTTCTTGATTTTTTTATGGGGTTATTATGATCTCAAGATTCAAGTTACGAGTTTTGCTAGTTAGCCAAGTTAACTTGATTTTTTTTTTAATTGAATTCTGTTTTAATTTCATCCATCAACATTGAGTTGTTTAGGAATTGGACTTTAGATTTTTTTTTATTTGCTTTTTATAGAGTTACCACAGTCTCCTTACTTAGGTTTGATATGTTAACTTAAGTTGATTCGGGTCATTGTTTTGTTTTTTTTATTTTATTTTATCTTTTAATATTGTGTTGATTAAGAATTGGGTTGAATAATATTTTTTTTATCTACTTTCTATAGAGTTTTCAAGGTCTTATGATTTATGTAGCAGATTTGTCAAGTTAACTTGAATTGATTTGAGTCTATCAACATGTTGTTGTTTTAATATTTAAAAAAAATATATCATCTTGATTTTTTTTTAATGAAACTATATTTTTATCGGTCATCCAGTTATGTTTGGACCTGTCAAGTCGACTAGGTCACATCAAATCAATACCTATATAGTTTTAATTTTTATCATCTTGATTTTTTTTTAATGAAACTACATTTTTCTCGGTCATCCAGTTATGTTTGGACCTATCAAGTCGACTAGGTCACATCAAATCAGTACCTATATAGTTTTAATTTGTTTTTACTAAAATACACATTAATGACACCTAAATAATTTTTTATGTCCAGAAAAAAATATAATCCAACCTGCAATGTAGCAAGAGCAATTATCTACTACTATACTATATAAATCCCTTTGGCATTTCAATGTAGTAGTGAACACTAAAATGCCAGGGCATTGTACACTTTGGTCTTCAAAAATAAAAAGTTATGAGTTTTTTTTTTGTTTTCAATTTAGTTTTTTTTTTTAATTTTATCAAAAATAAAAAGTTATGAGTTTTTTTTTAGTTTTCAATTTAGTTTTTTTTAAATTTTATTCTTCAAAATTAGGTTTATTAAGTATTAGACTTTATAATTTGTTTAGATTTACTTTCTATGATAATTAGAAATTATCTTAGTCTCCTTACTTAAGTTTGACTGATTTATCTAGGTTGACTCAAGTCATTGTTTTTATATTTTTTTATTTGATTTTATTTTTAATTTAATAGGTTGATTGGAAATTTATTTTTATAATTTATTTTTTATTTTCTTTATAGAGGATTAACAAAATCTTATAATTTCAGTCGTGGGTTAAACTAGTCGATTTAGTTTTTTTTTCAGTTGATTCTTTTTTAATATCATTCTTCAATATTATGTTGATTAATAATTAGACTTTATAATTTGTTTCAGTATGTGTTCTATATGGTTTTCTTGCTCCCATAACCCAGATCACAAGTTTGTTTTGTTGACTTTAGTGATTTTTTTATTTTTTTATTTCATCTTTTAATATTAGATTGTTTGTGAATTATGCTTTATAATTTTTTCTTAATGTGCTTTTCATAAGATTATATTGATCTCGTGATCTAAATTTGAAAGGTTAACTTGAGTTAATTCGATTAATTTTCTTAGTTGAACTTAGTTTTCAATTTCATTCTTTAATAATGGAGAGAATTGAGTTTAATAATTTTTTTTAATTTGTTTTCTATAGGTTTATCAGGGTATCATGACCTGGGTAACAGATTTGATAAATTAACTCAAGTTGATTCAAGTCAATCAAATATATTATCATTTCAATATGTAAAAAAAAATATCATCTTGATTTTATTTTAGTTAAACTACATTTTGTTCTCAGTTTTTCAGGTTGTTTTTTAACTTGTCAAGTCGACTACGTCACATTAAATCAATCCCTATATAGTTACATATTAACAACTCCTGAATATTTTTTTATGTCAAGAAAAAATTTAATCCAACCCGTAGTATAGCATGAACAATTATCTAGTGCTTGAAATATTATCCGAAACAGTAGATGATTTTTTATTTTCCATCCACCACAAATGCTAATTTATAAAAAAAATCTTCACTAATTGAGATCTGGAATAATTTAAATAGAACTTGGGATTTTGCCATTTGAATCGAAGTTGTCAATTTCGTTATGTTTCACTTGAAATGGTGATATATCTCGTTTAGGTTAAAAAAATAGAACAAACTAGAACAAAATCCATCTTGTTTAAAATCTCAGCCTGTTTTGAAAATTCCAGCTGGAACTTTCCAATTCCATTTTGGTCGTATCGTTCTGTTCCAGTTAAATAATGTTTTTTTTTTAATTTTACAAAACAAAACCAGAATGAAAAAATCTATGTTTTTTATCTAATTTAATGTCTCAACACTTGCTTATTAGAAATTGAACTTTCATAATTAATTATGGTTTGTTTTTTCTTTATGGTTATCTTAGTTTCATAAGCTATGTCACTAATTTGACAAGTTAATCTAGTGACTCGAGTTTTATATCTATTTTTTTAATTGATTTTTTTTTAATTTCATTTAACATCTTCAGCATTTGATTGATTATAAATTATACTTTGATATTTATTTTGATTTATTTTCTATGAAATTATTTCAATTTTATGATTTAGATCATAAGTTTTACGAGTTAATTTGAGTATACTTCGATTATTTTATGATTATATGACTTAAATTGATCTAATATATTGTTGTCTTAATATTATTTATATATAAAAAAGGATGTTATCTTGAGTTTTTTCTAATCAAAGTATATTTTAATACTCATCTAAGTTGTTTTTGAATAAATTAAATTGATTAAGTAATATCTAATCAACTTTTATATATTTACTTGTGTTTGAAATTTAAATAATATAATTTAAAGTATATATATATATATGGAACGGCAAAAGGACCAGAAACCAAAACATACCATTTTAATGAAAAAAATAGAACACCAACGGAATTGGCAACCTTAATTTGAACCTAGGATTTCCACATTGGTTGTAAAGGCTCTGAAAACAATCTCATGGTTTGGTATATAGCGCAAAGGCCAAAATGGCCCAAAACGCAGTAACCAAAATCCTCTCGACAAAAACTCATGAGAAGCTGAAAACCCACCTGCACTCTTCCCCCGATGCCAATGTGACAGAGCAAGCACGAACAAGAAGGAGAAAACAACCCACAATTCTTCTCCTTCTTCTCTCTTCTAATTCTCTCTTTTCTTCTTCTTCTAAATTAAAAGGTGAGATAGAGAAGGGAAGATCGGTCCGTCCTTGTTAAAAGAAGAAAAGAAGGCAAGATTTCTCCAACTCAAATGCTTCAGCATTTCCATTTTGAACCTCTATTCACAGGCAGGTCCACTCAGAGGTCCAATTCCGGCTCACCGATGAATTGGATCTGGTTCCTGATGACTTCTGCTCTTATATGGACTTTGACAAACTTGGATCTTGTCTGAAACAGGACAATGCGGGTCAAGAGCCAGCTGCTGCTGGTGGCAATGGGGTTCAATGTGTGGATGAGAAAGCAATAAATGTGAAGCTGAGGCATAAGTATAGCAATTCAGTTGATGGGTCTTCTTTAACGGAATCTATTGACTCAAAAAAAAGCTATGGCTCCTGAAAAACTCGCTGAGTTGTGGGCTTTTGATCCTAACGAGCCAAAAGGTACTTTCTTTTTGCTTTATGTACATGTTTTTCCTTGAGTCAATCCACACCAACCCCCCCGGGCTTCGAATTTTATCTTATCTCGTCGAAGCAGGGGGCTTGTAGTTTATGGCTAACTTTCTTCTAGAGAAGCAATGCTCATGTGGAGAACGTAGAATGTTGCAACAAAAAATTAAGAAGCTGCTTAATTTTTCTTTCTTGTTTTTTTCATAAAAAAAAAAACCCTTCCAAATCGCTAACATAAAGGGAAGCAGTATGGAAGGAGCTCAAATCTCTTGATATCAAGGTGGGTTTGGTTGGGATTGAGGTTTAGTTGATGTAGCTTTCTAATTGATGGATTATGTAGTTTTGGAAGTATATGAGAATTCAGTGCATGCATGGGCCGCTCTATGCATTTAGGTACTGTGATTGCCAATGGATTCTGAAACATATTACTGATGGGGATGTTGGTTCAGACATTATCAGGTCCTCGGGAAGCCTACAATGGATGAGTTTTTCTGATTGATATCTTAATGTCCAGTTCTGTCCTTTCCTCTCGCATAATCCCATCTTTCTACTTAGCCAATGAAGCTTGCCAAATTTGTTCTGTCATTTTTCAGCTGGCATCTCTAAGGTTAAGCATGTTTTTAATTATTTGTTTCTGTTGCATCAATGCTATGCGATGAAAAATCAATGCCATACATTTGAATGCAGATCAAATACATCTCTTCCAAAAGTTTGAATAAGAACACTACATGGAAATGCTTTACTACCTTAGTTTCTCAGGGTTTTTTTTTTTTAACATTTCTTAGGTTCC